AGATTATTCAGATACAGGGGATGATGACTTTGTAATTCCACCTTCCCGTTATTGCTAAAAAAAACTTAGTAGTTGAGTTAAATTTTATGCAGTATGTATATGAAATGTATGTATTTTTTATTTATTTTATGCAGTATTTTGTATGAATTCCACCTCCCCGTTATTGCTCAAAAAAACTCAGTCCTTGAGATTTACTAGTGCTAATGTTATGGCATTGTGCATATGCCATATGTCTATTTACAAAGCCCAATTCACAGACATATGAATGAGTTTTACCCATGTGATGATTTGACAAAAGGGACTTACACCTCTCTCTCTCTCTTTGGCAGGAAGTGGGGTGTTTTGCATAATAGTTCATGCACCAGCACCACTATTTTTAACTTTAGCCATGTGATGATAAGATATGAAAGTGGGTTGCTTTTGTTTATCTACAAGAGCTGATTTATTCAGTAAGAGTCCCATTCTGTGTCTAGCCATGTGATTGAACAAAAAGCCAAATAATGTAAAACAGCCTTACACCATGGCAGATAAAGAGGTATGGTCACATCATCAAGAAAAAGCCTTAGTGTTTGAAAAAGTTATAAATAGTGCCATTGTTGTCATGAGGCAGACTATTGACATCCCTATTTGTAATTACAATTTACTAATCTAATGTCTTTATTTTAACAAAACTATTATAATGTCATTTATGAATCAAATAGATATCATCATCATTGACAAACAAAAAGTAGCGAAGAAACTACTACCAAAACGTACGAACAAAATAACATACATAAATAAACAAAACCAAGATAAGAGAGCCTAGTGCTAATTTGGGCAGTAGGCAACTTAATTCCGCCTACTCCTGATAAACAATACTGCTTTCCCATACAATTAATTTGGGTAATGGAGGTCTAAATCCCCGTGACCCGCCTAATTTAATTCCAAAGGTTTTGTATTTTCATGTAAATTTTGGTATACACCCAGAAAGACCAATTAATTATATTGGATTCTCAAGTACAAGTATAATTTAACTTGATTATCAGTGAACAAGATATGTAAGTAGTAATAGACTAAATAGTAAAGGGAACCAAGATCCAGTATAGGATATTTTCAGCAAGGGGTAAGAAAACAGGATCATAAAAGAACTGGACAAAGAAACTGCAACTATATTTCAAGATTAACCAGTTAAACATCACCTTTTGAGTCTTTAATTTCTTTAATAACCCTACTTTGGGATCACTCCTACACCAACACAGTTATTTTATTTTATTTTTTTTTAGTATTTTCTTCAGCAGTATCCTAAAGCCATCATCCATACCAAGACAGTTTTTGGTTTCTTTTAATTTTCTAATACAGTTTTCTAATACAGTGTGTGATTGTTCCAATCAAGAGAACCAACCCTTGAACTATGCCCGTCTTGCAAAGTCCTCAGCTGTTCAGAAAAACCATGAAAAATAGAGTACAGGATGGAGAGGTGGCACCAGAAAAATCAAATCTAATGCCTAGATCATGAGAAATGTGACAATTTGCAATAAATACATTTCATTTCACTCCAAATAAAGAATATAATACTCTTAGTTCTAATATTTGTTTTCTAAAATATAGGCCAACTATACAAGCCATAATCCTTCATAGTAGTTCACTTTATGCATTATATCAGTATAATAAAATCTTCAATGATACATGCCTCATTCAACCTTGTACTTCACCACTAAACTGGACTTTGTTCTCTTCCAAACTAAAAAAAATGTAAAAGAAACTACCAACTTTATCAGAACTTAAATGGGATATAAAAATGCATGTTGTGTTGCATTTAAACCCATGTTTTTCTTTAAGTTTTTCTTTTTCCACACAAAATGCAGTTAGAGAAACTGACAGAAGCCCAATTTCTTTTTCCACACAAAATGCAAGGATCCTCTTCCTGTAAGCTTCTTTGGCTGGAGAGCATGGTGTTGGGCTTTCCTTTCTTACCATCCCACCGTTGAGCATGTAATGTGCAAAATCAAAATCCATTGCAGATCGGTTGGGAATAAACCTATCCAGCTGCCATCCCAAAAGAACAAGATTAGTGTGAATTTCCAATAAAACCTATATATATATATATATAAAGGCAAAATGACAGGAAAAAATCAGCCATAGAGTTTAAAACCCAGGAGCAAGATTAGTGTGAAGCCTATTGCGATGACAAAAGAAGGCAGGCAAAGATATTAAAAAAAAAAATTAAATAAATAAAGAGAGTATATTTTGAAATGTAATATTTTCTTTATATGGAACACAAAAACAAAACCTGAAACTATCGTTACTGTCTTCTACAACTATTTTGGTTCCTTTCGAGTAAAAATTCTTTGTAATCCAAGACAATAGGACATATGATAATATTACATTATTATCTATTTTCCTCACTTAGAAACCTAACAACTGGAGAAATGAAAATGCTTACCGGTTCACCTTATAGCCTGTTGGCTTATGGTTTGAATTATAAACCCACTGGTCAAGGTTCGAGACTGGTATATATAGAGAGGAAGCTATATGAGAAGTCACAGATGTTAGATTGTGAATCTTTTGGTCATTTAACCCAATCTTGCTCTTCTAAGCCCACTACTAAGCATACACAAAAATGGAGAATGAAGGAGGACGGCTAGACCTAATTCGAATTAGTGGGAGGAAGTTATAAGGGGAAAAGGGAGAAGTGTTGTGGATCCCCCCAATGAGGAATTGTGAAAGGAAAGCCCTAAAATGGCTATACCTATTGCTTCATTATCAAATATATTTGAATTCACTTCTTCTTTTGATGTGTCTTTGATCACAATCTCATTGCACCTCTCTCAAGAGATTATGGGACCTATTGATTATTTAAACTTTATTGGGTCTATTTCTCTGAATAAAGAAAGAACTACGTAAATCCAAATTTATACAAATAGAAACAAAAACATATTGAGTGTGTTTTCCCTGAATCTTCATGTTGAATCCCATGGAAATCCAAACCAAGAAACCTACAGGACTATGACTTAAAAAATTATCTAATGATGTCAAAAATTCTAGTCGTGCAGAATCTATACAAGTTGAACAAATAAACCCTAAATTCCTGAAAACTCATATTCGTAGACAATAAACCATCCAAATATGCTAAAGAAACCCTTACGTGAAAAAAAATCAAAATCCAAGAAATTAATGGGAACATCAACCACAAAAATCTAAAGATATTGCAAACAACACTAGATATCGTCTAAAAAAAAGAAACATTCAAATAGTAGACGAAGAAACCGTAGTTCACAGTAAATCCAAAAGTCCAACAAATTCACGAAGACAAACAAAAGAAAGAAAATCAAAAGGAATTCGATACAAAAGCTAAAAGAATTTAAACTTTTCTCGTTTTCTTGAATTCATTGCAACGAAACAGAAAGCCGAAAATATCAATTGGTTGGCGAACATACATAAACACACACAAGCAGATGGAAACACATACTTTTTCGCACAAATTTTGCCTTCGAAGTTTCTGATCGGAGAGAGGGAATCGCGACATTTTTGTGTCCAATTCCTGAATCCAAAATTGATGTTTTAGGAACAGCATATATATATATATATATAGGGATCAAAATTGTATAAAAACAGAGTAGAAATCCTAGCAAAACGATGAACAAGACTAGAGAGAGAGAGAGAGAGAGAGAGAGAGAGAGCAAGAGAGCGTTGATGAATGAGTTGGGTTTAAGAGAAAATTAGCAAAACCTCCACATATCAACATGTACGAAGAACGTGAGAACTTGCATCAACTCATTAAACAACATATCAACAACTTCTCCTCCACAACAATCAATCAAAACCTCCACATACGATGATCCCATACTCCCATGCTTTCAACATTTTAAAACAAGAAAAAAAAAATGGCCTCCACATGGGCCAATGTAGCAATAAGGTAATAAAGTTCAAGATACACCATAAAATTGGTCACTTAAAGGCATGTGACCCCCCCGAGTATGAGTATAAAAAGCATTACAAATGTGCAATCATAAAAGATTTTTATCGAACATAAAGACCATATAACTTACAAATTTGATGTACTTGATAGCCATGCAATCGACGCTCCCGTTGTTATCTCTTCCCAGCCCCTAGCGGGAAGACTACATTTGAAGTACATGCAAATCAATTAAACAAAATATAACACCAAAATATTGTACAAGTGGAGATGGTTAAATGAAAAAACTCAAAAATAAGGGACATATGAGCAAACAACTTTTTTATTAGGCGCTAGTAACCAAAAACAAGACTCTAAACAAAATAAATAAATAAATGGGGTAACAGTAGTCAACTAAGATTATAGCAAAATCCTTTTTATTATTGTTTATTTATTTTTTTATTCTATCAAACATGATTGGACAATTTGGACAACAAAAAATCAGAAGGAAGCCCAAAAATCTATTTGAAACAATTTTTCCCAGAAATACATACTTCCCTTTGAAAAATCAATAAAAAAGAAATTCTCAAACAATTTGCATGAAACCAAGTCCATTGGAAGCTTAAACACACAATTTTTCTTCTATCAATTTAAATCAATAAATTTTCTTACCGATTAAATAAGGTTTGAAGGAAAAGATAGGAAAAATTCTGCTTATAAAACAAGGATCACAGCATGTTAAGATTAACTTCAAAAATCCATACTAATTTCAAAATCCAATCAATTTGAGCCAAAACAAAAACCTGTAAACTCATTAATAATAACTGATATCACATAATTTGAAGTGATTATTGTCAATTATGCTCGTGAGTTTGAAACGTATTCGTTCACGTGATCTTTTGGACATTTAATAGAGAAACAAACAAGTCTTTTTCTTTGTCATTGTATAAAAAAGAACAAGTGATAAATACCAAAAAGTGCCATACATACCTCATCGGTTCGCAACACAACAAATTGGTCTCTGCTGGTTATATGTGACAACACCTCACTTCAGGGACGGATATAAGTCCAAAATCCTTAATAAAGTAGTGCCCAAAGGCTCTAGACATTGCCAATCTGGGGCATTCCTCATTCGGCAGCCAAATTTTATGCACCACAGGCTTGTCGTTTAAACTGAACACTCTTCCTTTGTACTGATTTATCCATTCAGCCTCATCTGTCAAACAATGTTGATAATGTAAACACAATGTTCATATAATTTTTGAGACACAAAGAAAGTGAGGAAGAGAGAGACTCACGAGGTAAATTGTGGTTGAAATAACAGTCATAATGCAGTAGGGGAGCTCCAAGGAATTAATAGTGAGGAAACAAGTCATAATGACTTTAATATGATGTTATTTTCCTAGCCTTCCGTAAGCATGTAACATGTAAGCCCGTCCATTGTCACATAATCCCATAACCTCCTTGCTTTCACGACCCTCCAGCTGCCAGAAAACTCACACACCTATGATTTTTAAATAACACTCCACATGAGACTCATACGAGGACCCAGGAAAATAATTTCAATACCAAAATAAACCACCAGACGAATAATACAGATTCAACTTAGAATAAGTTACATCATACTTAGAAATGTTTTCTAAATAAGTTAGAAATACTATCACAACATAGTTATACTAATGCAGTAGGGGAGCTCCAAGGAATTAATAGTAATTTCAAAATAATTCCATATTTAAGGCCTTAACACCTTACAAAATAACTCCACTAGAATTAGCAATTATATAACTATTCTATCCAGGTATAGGAGCCTTGCACTTTCGACGATTATGACCATTCTCGCCGCATTGCGAACAGTGTAACGACCTTACATTTTGAAATTGTGATTCGATTCGTTTAATACGAGGTCGTCCAGGGGGACGTGTTACCGCAGGAGGCCTAAGATGGGAAGCACCTTCACCGTCAGCAGCAGCAACAGCAGCTGCATTCGGCATATCATGCATGGGGACAGAAGACATGAGATGTTCACATAGTTTTTGTTGTGTTTCAACCCTAAACCATGGATCAACCATCTCATAAATATTTAAAGATAATTCATGGATGGCATAGCATGCATGCGAACAAGGAATCCCACTCATGGTCCACTTCAAACAACTACAAGAATTTTCACTGCCAAATACCACCCTGAATGGTTTTCTGTCTCGATCATATATTGTACACTCAGTAGGCGAAACACGCATCGACTGAAAACCAAGAGCTAACTCTTGCTCTTTTTTTATTTTCTCCTCAATACGATCCCCAACCGGGATAGTCCACTTCTGAACGTCCAAACTCTTTTGGTATAAAAATTTGCTGAGTCTTTGCATGTGTGTATCCATCAACCTTGTGATTGAAAAAACCCTCTCTTCTTTCACCCATGCATTGAAGGACTCTGCTTGATTGGTGTATAATTTATCCCAACGCTTGGAAGTAAACATAGCATTTGACCAATGTTCAGCTGAATTCGCCAAAACCCAATCGCATAACTCCCCTCGAAATACCCGCATGGCAGCCAATGCATTCTTATACTCATCTACAGTTCGAGCATATGCAATTTTATCGAGTAATTTTTTCGCATGCTCTTTACCCGAAGCCCTCAATCCTAAACTTTGTCTCCCAAGAATGGATGTAGAAAAATTCGCCGTTAGGTGACGAAGACACCATGAGTGGTACTGGGAGCCAAAAATATCTCTAATACAACTTATTAGGCTCGGATGCCTGTCGGTTAAGATTGTCACAATGCGACCATCTAGAATCTCTTTCACCTTGCTCAAGAACCAATGCCAATCATCATCATTCTCAGAAGAAACAACAGCATACGCCAAAGGCCACAAGCCATCATTCGCATCGAACCCCGTTGCACCAAGCATTGTTCCTTTATAATTGCCACTCAAGTGGCAAGCATCGATTGCTAACATGGGCCTGCAATAGTTGATGAAACCTCGTATGGAGCACCCATAAGCTACAAACACTCGCTTAAATCTCCTATCATCCGTGCACTCCCACGATGTAATTGTCCCAGGAATATATTCTGCTATTCGTTCACACAACCACGGGACTAAAATATAGCTATCCTTGGGATTTCCCTCAATGATATGACGTGCACACTCCTTAGCTCTCCACGATTGCATGTAAGTCATTTTAGCAGAAAATTCACCGTTTATGTCTGTGGAAATAGTCTTGGGGGTACATTTAGGATTGTCCCTAACCTTGTTCACAATAGCTTGACCCATTTCCTTCGACCAAAAAATGGCTTTATAATCTGAAATGTCTTGAGCAGTGTGAGTGTGAACATTATTAAACCGCTTGATTCTCACTATATCACCACTTCCTTCACAACCAGCTGATAATTTCCATGGACAATTATTAACCTCGCACACAACTCTATAATATTTTCTGCTATTGTCCAAGTACTTGAACCGAAAATGATTACGAAGACCAAACAAAACGAGTGCATCTTTGAAATCATTTGGGCTGTCAAAAAGCTGATCCACGCAAAGAATGTCATCAATGTGTCGGAAAGAATCCCGATGCGCATTTATCGGAGGAAATGAAGACGTTGACGCAACACTTTGTAGAAGACCAATTGGCGATGTGGCTTCAACAAATTGTCTACAAGTGGATAAAAAGGTATATTAAAAATCACATAACCTATGCAGCGCATACATCAATGTATTACTTTAAATATATGTGTCTTACCTCTCACTATGATCAGTAGGAATTGTGCATGATGCAATTACAGGCTCTGCATCTTCCATATACACATTTAGCATGGGACCACTCACTAGAAGCATCACTCTAAATCCAGATTCTCCCGTCATCCTCAAAAGTTCATTCTTGTTAGATTCGGTGGTATAATATATGACTTTACCACTCATGTTTGAAGATGAACGTTGTTGTAACTCATTTATAAATGATTCGTATGTTGTTGTTATTGTTATCATAAAAGGGTCTGTGACACCGCCGATGTATATAATTTCCCCATTCTCATTTTTGTCAATTTTCCCATCAAATCGACAATAGCATATAATTTGTCTCTCATCCATTTGTCCAACTGCTTCGAAAATTGACTCATTAGTTTAAAAAAAAAAACTAAACATGAAGTTCAAAAAAAAATGAAATATAAAACAATTAAATATCATAATTATATAATGTAATTTAGAGATCTATTTACACCGAAACACTACTAATTCCCTCAATAGGGATAGGCGGTGTCAAGATTAAACTTTTCCTAAACACACACTACAGACCTTTTTCAAATCAAAATACAACCACAAAATCAATGCCATTGATTACTAGATAATTGTATCACTATGTGTACAACAAACATATATACAAGATGAGGGAGATTATGAGATGAATAGAGAGTTAAATGGGACAATATAGATTGAAAATAAAAAATTGAGAGTTAAATAGAGAGAGAGCAGAGTGTTGAATATTTTTCACACACAAAAATTATATGTGTAAGTCTTGAAAATGGGGGAGACAAGTACAAGGGAATGTTGGAATAATAAATTAATACTAAATACATTTTTTTGATAAATTAATGCTAAATACATATATTAAAAAAGCCTCATTTATAGAGTTTGCTAGCTTTTGCATCAATTCTATCATGTGCGTAGATGCCTAAAGACATATTACACAGAGGTATACTCTACATGCCATTTGAGAAAGAGGCAACAATCTTGAATAATTCTTGATCTAAATTGAGTTATAATAATTAATTATACATAAAAACTAATTGGACTACCTATGTGTTGGTGGCTTTGAATTTTAACTCCTAAATTCCTACGTTCTGCTGAGGATTTAGTCTGCAGTCATCAAAGAGCCTTGAATATATAGCTTGAATACAGATATAGCTGATTTAGTCTGACTCTTTTTGTAGGAAGATACAGATATAGCTGATTTTACATAGATATTATTTTCTAACGGAGTGAATTGATACTACTCATAGCTATCGACCAATATTGTGGTGTGTATTGGTTGTAACTGACAATGTGAATTTAAAATTTCAAATGGATATAACCATGGTCAGTATTAATGGTTTTAACTAAATTTTGATATTTCCATTAAAATGGTATCTCTCTTTGATTTTGGATCATGTGTGTGGTTATTAAATTATGTGTTGATTTGTAAGGTTGCTTTCAGATTTGGACAAAAATAAAATGAAAGTCTTGATAGTTTGTTGATGTAATGAGCCTAAAAATTTAAAATTATATGCTTTGAATATATATCTATATCAGTCCATGGCAACTACTGCTTAATGATAAATAAGCCGTGAAACTACTTTGATCATATGGAGCTTATTAGTTGCATCATGATTACTACTAGTTTTGTGTATGTGTTCCATTATGTACTAGTTAATGTGTGGTATTTAGGCTTATGGCCAGTGTGTGTGTGTTAAAATCATGTATAAACATACATATATATGACAAAGTCGTGTTATGTTTAAATATTTCAGCCTAACTCTTGTAAAAATTAGAACAAATTCATGTTGGTTTGGATGACTCCTAAAGGTTTTTTTTTTGGAAGGTTAAACAAGTATTATTATACCATTTCTCTCATTCCTTCTCTTTCTCCTTCCAAATCGAGGTACGTTAGGGTTTTCTCTCCCCTAATGGCACACGTGTTCTATGGACCTGTATTAGAGTATAGTTCACACTATGATTCTTAAGATTGATGTGCTTATTGACGGTCCAGTGCTGTTTCAATCTCCTCCTAACAGCACTTAACATAATCATAAACTAGATTTAGCTCAGCCATTTTGTCTTGAAGTTTTTCCTCAATCTCATTGGGAAGCTATTCATGTAGTGGCTGAAATATGTTTGTTTTTTTATGATCCAAACACACTCAAACAAACAAGAACAGTGACCAATAGCTAGCCGCAGAAGTTACAATAGGTGTAGCTAGCCTATGACAAGTGTGTTTGTGTTAAAATCTAGGTCAGACAATTCTTTTTAACAGGTGTAAATCTAGCTCCCATTCTCACGATTTGTTTGTAATTTAATTTTGTTGCTTTTGCGCTCTATCTACCACTTTATGTGACTTAGTATAAAACCAAATATAAATATTAACTTACTGAATTTTTCTGTTACTATCAAATACCATTAAAGCAAAATTACAAAATTAGACCCTCCCTCACAAGAAACAAAATTTTAAGAATTTATTAATCACTCTAATCGATTGCAATAGGCTGCCAACATAGTTAATTGAGAGTCGATAATTCAAAGAGCATTTCATTTTATTTTTGTCCAAAGCTGAAAGCAACCTTACAAATCAACACATAATTTCATAATCACACACATGATCCAAAATCAAAGAGAGATACCATTTTAATGGAAATATAAAAAAATAAGATGTTTGGATACAATTGAAAATCAAAAAATAAAAGTACATGAAGCACCAGATTTAAAATTAGATTCCTCATAAGTACAAATAATTCTTTGAGACTACGCTTTCATGAGTACAAATAATTCTTTGGGAGCTCCGAGAATTAGTGGGGTAAAACCATGTATATCTCGATTGCGAGAAAAATATATAATGCAGCTAAAAGAGCATAGGCAGATTTAATAAAGCAATCCCCACAAAAATCTATAAACTCTACCATGTTTGAAGGCTTTTCTCTTAAAAAAAGACTTTAGTAGTACTACACTTATCTGTTTCCCATTGAAAACTTTAAATCACCCATTAGCTGTTTTGATTTTGATTTTGATTTTGATTTTGATTCCTTTCCTAGTGCAAAGACATGTAGTATCCGTATTCACCTTCACATAAAGGTGGTGTCTTTGGTTTGATTGTAGTGCCAGAGTTTTGGACCAAAAAAATCAGATCCACCTCAAAGAGAGAGAGAGAGCTCTCTCATGTAGCCTTTTCAAAACAGAGCAAAATACAAAGAAATATTGTCAGTGTTCCCTCAACCTCTTCATTCCTCATTTATGAAACCTGTCTTTCTTTATTTATTTGACATCAAAGCTCTATCAAGTGAAATTCTCAACTCAACTCACAATATTATATATATATATATATATATATATATATATATATATATATATATAATATGTTTTTGGAGTAAGTGTTGTGATTCTGTACACAATAGGAGATTATTTATTATCTATTATTAGAAAATCGAACAGATAAAATGAGAAACTTTGGGAATACCCCCCCTAAGGTAGTGTGTTTAATTGTGGCATTCATATTAAGTCATCAATTTAATATGTATGTTCCACAATATATTTATATATATGCACGGGTGTAGAATATATTAGATAAAAAAGTAGTGTTACTCTTCAATTTATACAAAAAGTAGTGTTACTCTTCAATTTAGTTCTAACTTCTATTTCTACTTTGATTCCAAATAATGCAAAGAGGTGTCATATTCTGATCTGGTATAGAGAATGCTACTCAAAACCTAATTCTCAGAAAGCTTAATTTCTCTATTAAGCTCTCCTCTTCGCACTTCTTCAGCTCTCACGGCTGTTGGGGAAGTTCTTGAAAAATCGGCAAACTCTCTCTCATCTCCCAGAGAAATGCTGCCCAGAATTGACGAGAGTGGCAGGTTTTGCAGCCCCAGAGCCGCCAGAGAGATCACCTTCTATGTCCCCCTCTTACCAATTTTTGTTTTTCTGTGTGTGTATATATATAGAAAGTTCGGGCTATTTGTTTTGGTTCTTTGATGGGTTGAAAATTGCTTGAATTTCAATGTCAGGATAATTATTTATGCGGCGTGTTTGGAGGGTTATGACCCAATTCGGCTATTCAAGAAGAGAATCAACGCCCGAAGAGGTATTAGTATTACCAATGCTATGTCTTGTTTTATGACAATATGTTTATCTTTTTGGGTTTTTCTGCATCCCTTTTGATAAAACTGAATAAGTACTTAATTTATTTATTTATTATTATTTATATAACTGGTGTTTAGATAACTACCTACTGCTTTATATTTTCTCTTTTTCATCTCGTTAGAAACTAAATAACTTCCAAAGCATCAGTCTTGGACAGAATTTTGATCGAAATTTACTTCTTTCTTTCATTCTCTCTTTCTTTTCCCGTAAATACAATTTAGACGTAAAGGTCATATAACAGTTTTCCCATTATTGTTCGTGTCTTGTATTTTCAACTGAATTTGGGCTTAGGTATAAAGCAGCTTGCACTCTTCGCCGGTTGGGGGGGGGGGGGGGGGGCGCATCTAGAAATTTGTTGTTTAAAACCATTCAAATTTCATGAACAGATGGTGAAGAAATCTTTTCCATTTCTGGTCATTGCATGGCAATATCTTAGACTAAATTTTTTAATCGTTTAAAAATGTTAACATATTCAATCAGTCTACTAAAAAGAATTATTTATCTAATTTATTTAAATGTTGGTAATTATCAGACACCAAGGCCATCACTGACATGCTCTAAAATGCTATGTTTCCCTAGTGAAAACATTTACCAAAGACTTCCAACCTTATAAGCTAAGGCACAAATCATAGCATAACCATGAAGATTTGTTACTTCATCTCTGAGTCACAGTCCAAAGATCCAAACAGAGTAGCTTCTTCCCTTTTGTTTTATATTGAGAACTAAAATCTTTATTAGTGATTCTTAACACCCAAGATATTAATCATGAAATTATTATAAAGCATTTTCATTTAATTGAACCAAACTCAAATTTTATATTTAATTACATTTCAACCACTAAACCACAACAAATATAGTATGTATGAAAAACTTATTTTTAATTTAATATTGTAGAACCAATACTAGTAATCTTAAACAATTCTTTTACTAAGCAAATGCAAATGGGAATGTAGATTTCACAAACATTTGATAACAAGTGTCCCTACCCAAAGACTATCACATGCATGCCTCTTTACAGTTTACATTTATTGATTGTATCATAAGGTCTCCAGAGCAAATGACTTATGAAGATAGGATTTAAGCTTGTTACCTTGGCACAAGCTAGTTAGCTAACTAGTGAAATCCAACAAAAAGCCTGTAGGCACCACACGTACTGCCACTTGCTTCCACATGGTCCTAGTAAATTTAAAGAACATGAATTATTTGGATTTAGGGACATTGAATCTCTACTATACACAGGTAGGCATTAACAGTACAATGTTTAAGTTTTAAGATCAGATTAATGTTCTAAAAAAAAAAATTCAGCAGGTAACAAAGGACATGCATGGAAATTTGTTTTTTATCCTGTTTAATTATGTTTTCTTCAGCAAATTCCGAGTATTTTAAGTATGAAAACCCATGCTAGTGGAAAGATTGTAGGATAACATTTGGGATTTCAGTTCAGTCAACGTATAAAGAAAGCATGAACTCTTCAAAAACAAGCAAACCTAATTACAAAAGAAGAAGAAGAAAAATAAAAAATAAAAAATAAAAAAAACATTTGATTAATTAAGTATCTACTTTATGAAAATTTTGCCTTTGTTGGTGGGATAAAACTGAGTTTTAAAAATTAATTTTGTCACGCACAAGAGAGCAACATTTTGTTACGCACATTTCAAACATATACAACAAACAGAGCAACAACAATCTTGATTGCAGAATAGAAATTATATATATATGATTGCATAATAGAAATTATAAGAGGAGAATATATATAAACATAACCTACATGAAAATCAGACATCCAATTGGAAAAAAAAAAAAAAATTATAACACTAAATCAGGACCATAATCATCTAAAAAATAAACGTGTGTGTGTTAAGAGGGAGAGAGTACTTACCATATTACTAGAACAACAATAAATGAATGGCAGAAGTGGAGAAGTGCTTCGCTGGGTTACAGAGAGGGCGCACCAACGACGGTTAGACGTGGAGAAGTGCTTTGCTGTTACAGAGGGGGAAAGAGAGAGGGCTTGAATGAGGGTTAGGGCTCAACGGCTACGCTTCAATCCTGTTACAGAGATGGGGGGAGAGAGAGAGAGGGCTCTTAAGGGCTCTTCACGAATGAGATGAGGGAGGGTTAGGGTTCCATGTTCGGTGATGCTGTGTTTGCCTGGGCTTGCTTCGCTGGATTTGTGACGCACGACTGTGTATTTTAGGGCAACAATGCTTTAGAGTTGAGTGACTAAATTAAACGGGGGCAATAAGGTAAATGTGCTGGAATAGTGAGAAGGGCATTTTAGGCACCACAAGTTTTAAACAGTAATAATTCATGTGCCATGTCATCAATTTAGTCAACCTCATTTTTAAGAAATATGAGACTTTGACTCAGCCTCTTGGTAAATATGAAACCCTAACCCCATTTATATGTAATAATCCCTATTTTAAATATATATATATATATATATTTAAAATTACCCTTTAGTCCGAGAAATCTTAGTTGGCCATTGTGCACATCCTATGGCACATAATGTGCCATGTGAATCCGCCAAGTGAGAGGTCATTTATTTTTGGGTCAACTAATTTGAAATTTCTATTATATTGAGTATTATTTAGTGACGTAATTGGTTGAGCGACTTTATGAATCTGTCCCCTAATTTGCCTGTATTAAAAAATTAAAAAATAACAATTGCATCACTTTTACTTTCAGATTGTATTACTTTGTTAACACCACTTCTACTTTGTTAACACCACTTTTCATATCAAGAGGATGTAGTTTTTTAAGCATTTCAAAATAATACTGTACTAAATTTCTTGCACCGACGAGAAAATTTTAATCTTTTATAATTAGTGAGGAATAAGGCCTGTCACATGTCTAACAAATCAACACTTGCCACAAATTTAGTTCGGTGGGAACTAGATAACATCTAAAATTTATTTTATTTTTGGGACTAAGCAGACAACTACAACACCTAAATGCGGTGCTAACACTGAAAATCAATTCCAATTCCGTATAAAGCTCAAATAAGTCTTTTGCACGTACCACAAGCTCATTGTTGCTGTAATTATTAATTTGTAACAAATTTTACTTAACCCGTGAACTCTGAAGCATGATAGCAACTTTTATTTAACCAATGACTTCATCCCATGAACCTGGGTCTGGAGCATGTTTGCAACTTATTTTATATAGAGCTGAAAAAGTTTGTATAGAACCAAAAAAAAAAGTGTCAGTAGCAAAGTTTTGTATGGGACAAAAAAAAAAAAAAACCTTTAATGTATTGGACAAAAAAGAAATAACAGCTTCAAAGCCTGAAGCAAGAAGGCTTTAATGTACATTTTCCAAAAGGAAAGAAGACAACAACGAAAGCTGGTAGCCTGGTACAAAAAAACAAAAAATTGAAACTAAAAATTTAATGAAGGTACATGATTTACACTATGTGGGTGGAACTTGGAACTAAGTTTGTGAAGTAATATATGAATGTGTGATATTTTGTCCAAATGATATTGTGGTTGAAAATTATTTTGAGTGCTATATATTTGTTCATACATATATTTTTATGAACAAATGATCCATTATATCACAGATCAACTTATAATTATATATGAGTTGTGTTATTACTATAATTGTACTATTAATATATATATACGTACGTCAAAAGGACCATGTGAACAAATTAAATATAAAAATATAATTAAAAATGTGCCATGTGAATCCACCAAGTGAAAGGTCTTTTATTTTGATTGACTAATTTGAAATTTCTATTATATTGAGTATTATTTAATGACCTAATTGGTTATGAATCCCTCCCCTAATTTGCCTGTATTAAAAAATTAAAAAATAACAATTGCATCACTTTTAATTTCAGATTGCATTACTTTGTTAACACCACTTTTACTTTGTTAACACCACTTCTCATATCAAGAGGATGTAGCTTTTTAAGCATTTCAAAATACTACTGTACTAAATTTCTTGCACCGACGAGAAAATTTTAATCTTTTATAATTAGTGAGGAATAGGGCCTTTCACATGTCTAACAAATCAACACTTGCCACAAATTTAGTTCGGTGGGAACTGGATAACATCTAAAATTTATTTTATTTTTGGGACTAAACAGTAACAAAATCTTTTCATTTTTTAATTTTTATTTATTTGTTTGTTTGTTTTGAAGTAACTACTAACTAGAACTAAAGATCAAAAATTCGTTTAAATTATTTTTGGTGGAAACTCGGTGTCATTCCTGCTGATTCAGTGAATAAAGCACAAGCTTTGCCCTAAAATTGTTTGCTGAGTTTATTATATATTTACTTTTAAAACTTTTTATTTAAAAGTTTTTTTCTTTTTCAGGATTACAGTCTAGAATTTGTTTAATTCATTGTTCTCAATTTTTTTTAGAAGCATGGCTTCATCTTCCTCTTCTTCTTCTTGCTTGAAACCCTACGGAGAGAATGTATCTAGAGATTTTCTTCCTTTGCTCTTCTAATCTCTACTTTGTAAAATGATAGCTAACTATCTAACTTGGTAACCCTTGTAAAGATGGCTTAATTCCCCTTTTATAGTTGTCCCTTGGAGTCCAAAATGGGTCAAAAATGTACCCCCAAATAATTCAATATCGCAACTGCTTGGTTGGTGAAGTTCGAGCCAAAACCGAAATAAAAAACTGCTCTCAGCATAAGTTATGATTGATCGCAACTCAGGTGCAATCAATCGCAACTTGAGTAGGATCGATCACAATTTGCTGGTTGGTTGATCTTATCTGTTGAAGTGGTTGCGATCGATCATGGCACTATTCCTGAGCAATTTTTGAAACTTTTTCCCTGCATTTGCTTGACTCCAAAAAGGAAAACGAAATTTTAGCCCTTTTGAACGTTATTGACCTGAAATTGACAAAAACACAAATTATGACTAAAACGGGGAAGTAATGATAGATGAAAAGACTAAAATACCCGAGATTAAGGCTGAAATGTATTTCAGCACTTATCACACCCTCAAATTTATATATTACTAGTCCCTTAGCAATGAACTACGAAGTAAAAGGAAAGAAACAACTATACAACTACAAACTGTAAAGCAATAAAGGTATAACACTGTTTTCGTAGGTATTACGGTTGCATTTAACATATGCAACAAACCTTTTAAATCTCTAAGTTACCCCTAAAAGACAAGTGAAGTCTCATGATGGCTTCTAGAAATGATACTTACAAACATCAAGCTCTTTCTCATTTAAGAAATACGAAATATTTTCCACACAAGTGTTGAAAGAAAACTACTTCAAGTACAGCCATTTTCAATTATTTCTAAGCAATTTCCAAAATTCTAACATTAAACATACAAATATGGTCCTCCACACATCAAATAAGATAATCATGCAAATCGAGTCAACTCTAGCATCTTTTGAGTGAAACTGGCACCAAATATGTTGTTATCTTAGCAAAATCAATTAAATAGGCACAACCGACTTCAAACTAGCACATAAATCAAGTAACAATCATCAAGACTAAGAAATGAATCTTTTATTCAATTTTTTTCAATTTTTATTTTATTTTTTTGGAAAACGATATTCGCACTCCAATTTTCTCCAATTGCACTACATTTATCATTTTCTTTTAAAGAAAATGACAAGAAAATCTTTAAATTCATTGTCTTAGTAATACTTGGATCAACGCCTACATGCACATTTTAATAATCTCCTATGAATATGCTCCCATGATTAGGTATGGCTTGCATCATTTAATCCATCAAATCCCAAGATAGTTTTTTTTATTTTTTATTTATGCATGTCTATGAGCAGTTTGGATATGACATTTATGTAATTTAATCTAACTGTATATTCTGAAAATATGGAAATATGGTATTTTCTTGCCTCGTAGATGATGCTTAAATTGGTTGTTAAGGTCTTGGGGGTTGGAGAGGGAGGTTTGTATTATTTAGAGGGTGAGAGAAGTGTGGTACTGTTGTGTGTGTTTGTGGTGGAGTTTGCCTGTGGAACAGTATAAACAATAATTTGAAGGACTGGAAATGCTTGTGGGTGAGTTGAAGACAATGTTTGTGATCTCTTTATCTTTGGAATCTGGGGAGTTATTTCTACACTCTTGATCGATTTGAGGGAATATGGGTTGCATCCTAGTGGTGCTCTTGTTCGAATTTTCATCTTTTGAGAAAATGCATACCGAAAATAATTAGTGGAAATCTGTTATCTAATCCCTTTTTTTTTCCCTCCTTCTTTTTGTCTTGACAAATAACTCACACATTCATTGTGCCCCGATGGGGACTTGAACCCTCGATTTGCCACTAGAAAATGTGAGGAGAATGGAGATACTACTAAGCTATACTCTTGGTGGTTTATCCAAGCGCTCTTTGATTATCTGATGTAATGAGTGCAGCGAGGCTTATCTACGCTCTTTAAAGATTCAGGGTTGGTTTGGACACGTTTGCTTCTTGTATTAAAATCTCCTTTTTGATTTCATAGCAAAAACATTTTTCTAGTATTTTTTGTTGACTAACTAAATAAAGGATAGTAACATATTTTGAAATAATTTCTGGATGCATTAAGGATTTAATTTTACCTTTTGTCAAAAAGATGAGGGGTGGGAGTCAGTAATAAATGCGGCAAGATTAACATAGACAAATTAGCTCCATGGAAAGTGGACAAGGAAATATTTGGAAAGGACGGATTTGGGAGGATCATTGTTAATTCTGCTAATAAGCTGAGCCAAGACGAGCTAAGTAGTTGGATGTTCGGACTTGACTTGGCAAAAGTGAGATAATCTTGGGCTCAACTCAAGCTTGGGTGAGCTTTGCGCTCGATCTCAACTTGCTTGAGCTTGTTAGCACATGGAAGAAGAACATGGAAGAAGAGTAGCAATGCTCTGAAGCTGAGAACAATTAGAGTTGATATGTATTAGTTCTGCAGCAACGTTGGAGAAGTATACATGAACAGGTGGCAGTACCTTCTTTCTTTAACCAGAAATGATAGCCCCTTCAGTTTCTCTCTCTCTCTCTCTCTCTCTCTCTTCCTTCCACTTCTCTTGCCCTTTAAAATTTC